ACTTCACCACGTGCAGAGGAAACTTTATCCTTGGTCTTGAATGCACCAAGCTGCAGGGGCATTTTCACCGAGGTATGGCTTTAGATCGTTAATGGAGACCACACACGGCGGATCCTTCACTGGCTTGCACCCACCGTAGTAATGACGGTAAGCATCGTGAACAATGCTCTGCAGCTCTCGGCGTCTCACCTGTCGCGCACGGGAGGTAAGAGACATCGCCTGTTCGGCGTGCAAGTACCACCAGGCGGGTCCTGTTTGACAACGAGACCAGTTGCACCAGTCGCTCTACCTTCAAGGGCTGTCCTAAAGTTACGTGGATTCAAACGTTAATCTTGGTCATGGCACCACTGTAACAAATTTGCATTTTCGCCGACAAGACGTTATCCCGGGCCTGATGTTCGTCCCGGGTATAATTCCTTGACAGGAACGACCACTGGATTAACGGAATTCACACGCAACTCCTAAGACGGAACGACAAAGTAACGGTGTTCACACCGGGTATGCCAGGGCTTTTATTACACACCGTTGACCATCAGGCCAGCGGCAGATAAAACACACCCCGTGATCATACGTTACTTTGTGCTTGTTACAAGGCCGGAACAGTGCTTAGCTAGTCGGTTACACCCCACATGGTCAGCTAGCAGGGCGGACAAGCCACCAGCAGCTAGAGAGCAGTGGGAGGGTGCGAGCTTCCTTGACTGAGCCAAGCTGGCTCTGTGTTGCTTCGGAGCCGGACGCCGCAGCTTCTATACAGCCGTGGGACATCACGTGGTCACAGTCATGTGACCCCCACGTGTGACCTGCAGGTGTCCCGTCCAATTAAACCATAGGTCAAGTGGTGTAGCATGTGTTACCTTTCCAATCAGCTGCTAGACCACGTGGCTACGAAGCCGTACGTCTCCAAGGTTGAAGTAATGCTGACGCATGCTATAGTGTATGTTGTACGGCGGGTCGAATTCGCTACAATAGCATTAGTATTTATTTAGTATATCGACATAATTATATCGATATATTATTATCATCATCATTATTATAATTATTAGTGCTATTAAATGCTCGTGACTATTCTACTGCGGATTGAAATCATGGGTGCCGGTTCTATATCTGCCAGGTAATTTTGGATAAGTGTTCAGTAAAGCCGCACCACGACGTTAGCTGAGTCAACACACACGCCACGCCTTGTACCTTGCCCCCCAGCGGGCTGCGGCCAGCACTGAATCTCGGCGGCTGTTGACGCTGTCGCGTGCACCCTAGACGTAGCAATTTTCGCGCTAGAATCGCGTTGAAAGCATGTTGCGATGAGCTAGTTTGCGTCGCTTCAAACGTCATGATAGATTCCCCTCCAATACTCGTGATTGATCTGCTAGATTGGATCACATTCGCGTTTAAGGTGTGTTGAGTGTAAAAAGTTGATCACGCGCGCTAACTTGCGGTAGGCCTATATGCTTGATCTCGTAGACTACAGATGTTATTCGAGTAATTGCATGCTAAATGTATAGTGACTATACGCTCTGCCAATATTTCATTTTACAGTGAGGTGGTGCGTAACTAACAAATCGGACTTGGAGAGGTGCAGGGAGATGAAGTTATTCGCCGAGGACAAGAATATCATGCTAAACATCGATTGCGTTGAGGTAGAAATATCTATGAGACCGCTTATGTTTTATGAAAGATAATTCCACACGTCAGTAACGTTTCAGTTCAGCAAAACTCTCTCTCAATATATCATCTCTTGACACAGAATATATACATAATTCTCACTTATGTACACAAATGGTTTACACTCGTGATTTTGCATGCGTCCAATACGTCATTTCGTCCGCAAGCGAGATATAAAGTGTTTTATTTTCATGTAGTATACTACATGAAAATAAAACAGATCCATAGAGTATGTAATTCCGTTTTCGTTTTTCAGCGCGAACATGTCTTCGGCTGCATGCGGGCGATCGAGGATAAGGAAGCAGACCTCATCAAGCTACGGCCGGAGGAGGTGTATATTGCTGCGACGCGGTATATGATGGAACCAATAACGAGAGAAGAATTTAATGGTAATTACGTGTGATCGCGTACTGTTCAGTTACTCCCGTACGTGTGCGTACAATTAGCGTACTGTG